TATGAAGTTGATTATTGTCCTCTCCAGATCTGTGAAGAATTTTGATGGGATCTTGATGGGGATTGCATTGAATCTATAAATTGCCTTAGGTAGAATTGCCATTTTTACTATGTTGATCCTCCCAATCCAAGAGCAAGGTAGATCCATCCATTTTTTGGTATCCTCTTCAATTTCTTTCTTCAATGCCTTAAAGTTCTTGTCAAATAGATCTTTCACTTCCTTGGTTAGATTTACCCCAAGATATTTAATGCTGTTTGTGGCTATCGTGAATGGTGAAGCTTCTCTGATTTCCCTCTCTGCTTCCCTATCCTTTGTGTGTAAGAGGGCGACTGATTTTTTGGAGTTGATCTTGTATCCTGCCACATTACTAAAGGTGTTTATCAGCTGTAAAAGTTCTTTGGTGGAGTTTTGGGGGTCGCTTAAGTACACTATCATAACATCTGCGAATAACGAAAGTTTAACTTCTTCCTTTCCAATTCGAATCCCCTTGATCCCATTATGTTGTCTTATTGCTATTGCTAGAACTTCAAGTACTATATTGAAGAGGTATGGAGAGAGTGGACACCCTTGTCGTGTTCCTGAGTTAAGCGGGATGGCTTTGAGTTTCTCTCCGTTTAATTTGATGTTAGCTGTCGGCTTGCTATATATAGCTTTTATTATATTTAGGTATGACCCTTGTATCCCTAATCTCTCCAAGACTTTTAACATAAATGGATGTTGAATTTTGTCGAATGCTTTTTCAGCATCTAATGAGATGATCATATGGTTATTTTCTTTCAGTTTATTTATATGCTGGATTACATTGATAGATTTTCGTATGTTGAACCAGCCCTGCATCTCAGGAATGAAGCCTACTTGATCATAATGGATAATTTTCCTAATGTGTTCTTGAATTCGGTTTGCCATTATTTTGTTGAGGATATTTGCGTCGATGTTCATGAGTGAGACTGGCCTGTAATTCTCTTTCCTGGTTGAGTCTTTGTGTGGTTTTGGCATCAGAGTAACTGTAGCTTCATAAAAGGAATTAGGTAATGACCCTTCTGTTTCTATATTGTGGAATACATTAAGGAGTATGGGTATTAGCTCTTCTTGGAAGTTCTGGTAGAATTCCGCATTGAAACCATCTGGTCCTGGGCTTTTTTTGGTAGGGAGGTTTTTGATAACAGCTTCTAATCCTTCGCGACCAACAGGTCTGTTTAGATTGTACACCTGGTCCTGGTGTAACTTTGGTATATGGTATTTATCTAAAAAAGTGTCCATTTCTTTTACATTTTCCAGTTTTGTGTTATACAGGCTTTTGTAATATGATCTGATGATTCTCTGAATTTCCTCTGTGTCTGTGGTTATGTCCCCCTTTTCATTTCTGATCTTATTAATTTGCGTATTCTCTCTCTGCCGTTTGATTAGTTTGGATAGGGGTTTATCAATCTTGTTGATTTTCTCCAGGAACCAGCTTTTTGTTTCATTGATTCTTTGGATTGTTTTCTGTGTTTCTATTTTGTTGATTTCAGCCCTCAGTTTGATTATTTCCAATCTTCTACTCCTCCTAGGTGAGTCTGCTTCTTTTTTTTCTAGAGCTTTCAGGTGGGCTGTTAAGTCTTCAATATGTGCTTTCTCTGTTTTCTTTAAGTGGGCACTTAGTGGGATGAACTTTCCTCTTAGCACTGCTTTCATAGTGTCCCATAAGTTCGAGTATGTTGTTTCTTTATTTTCATTGAATTCAAGGAAGACTTTAATTTCTTTCTTTATTTCTTCCTTAATCCAGGTATGGTTCAGAAGTTGACTGTTCAGTTTCCATGAGTTTGTAGGCTTTCTGGGGGTAGCACTGTTGTTGAATTCTAACTTTAATCCATGGTGATCTGATAAGACACAGGTGGTTACTAATATTTTTTTGTAACTGTGTAAGTTAGCTTTGTTACCGAGTTTGTGGTCAATTTTCGAGAAGGTTCCATGAGCTGCAGAGAAGAAGGTATATTCTTTCCTCTTCGGGTGGAATAATCTATAGATGGTTGTTAAGTCCATTTGCTTCATTACCTCCATTAATTCTCTAATTTCTCTGCTAGGTTTCTGTTTGATTGACCTGTCCATTGGTGAGAGAGGAGTGTTGAAGTCTCCTACTATTAGTGTGTGTGGTTTGATGGCTGCCTTGAGTTTTAGTAATGTTTCTTTTACATACGTGGGCGCTTTTATATTCGGGGCATAGATATTCAGGATTGAGACTTCATCCTGATGAATTGTTCCTGTTATGAGTATAAAATATCCCTCTCCATCTCTTCTGATTGATTTAAGTTTGAAGTCAACTTTGTTAGAAATTAGTATGGCCACACCTGCTTGTTTCTTAGGTCCATTTGCTTGATAAGCCTTTTCCCAGCCCTTTACTCTGAGTAGGTGCCTGTCTTTGTGGTTGAGGTGTGTTTCTTGTAGACAGCAGAACGTTGGATCCTGTTTTCGTATCCAGTCCCTTAGCCTGTGCCTTTTTATAGGTGAGTTGAGCCCATTGACATTAAGTGATATTAATGACCAGTGGTTGTTAACTCCGGTCACTTTTTTAGTAGTAGGGTTTGTGTGTTTCCCTTCTTTGAGTTGTGCTGGTGAAAGGTCTCTAGATGACTGAGTTATTGTGGGCATTGTTGGACTCCTTGGTTAGTGATTTTCCTTCTATAATTTTCTGTAAGGCTGGATTTGTGGCTACGTATTGTTTAAATTTGTTTTTATCCCGGAAAATTTTGTTTTCTCCATTTATAGTGAAGGAAAGCTTGGCTGGATATAGTAGTCTGGGCTTGCATCCATGATCTCTTAGTTTTTGCAGTACATCTATCCAGGACCTTCTGGCTTTCATGAATTCCATAGAGAAGTCAGGTGTAAGTCTGATAGGTTTACCTTTATAAGTAATTTGGCCTTTTTCCTTTGCAGCTCTTAATATTCTTTCTTTATTCTGTATATTTTGTGTTTTGATTATTATATGGCGAGGGGATGTTTTTTTTTGATCCAGCCTATTTGGTGTTCTGTATGCTTCTTGAACCTTCATAGGTACCTCTTTCTTCAGGTTGGGAAAGTTTTCTTCTATAATTTTATTAAGTATATTTTCTGTACCGTTGAGCTGCACTTCTTCTCCTTCTTCTACTCCAATTATTCTTAGGTTTGGTCTTTTTATTGTGTCCCAAATTTCCTGAATGTTTTGTGGTGAGAATTTGTTGGTTTTGCTGTTTTCTTTGATCAGTGTGTTTATTTTTTCTATGGTATCTTCAGTGTCTGATATTCTCTCTTCTATCTCTTGTAATCTGTTGTTAGTACTTGTTTCTGTCATTCCTGTTCGTTTACCCAGATTTTCCATCTCCATTCTTCCCTCGGTTTGTGCTTTCTTCATTGCTTCCATTTCATTCTTCATGTCTTGAACCGCTTCCCTAATCTGTTTGATTGCTTTTTCTTGTTTCTCTTGGTTTTCTTGCGTGTCTTTGAGCGATTTATTCATTTCCTCTACCTTTTTGTTTGTAATCTCTAATTGTTTATGGCAGTTTTTCACCTCCTGTTTAAGGTCCTCTATTATTTTCATATAGTTCACTTTTGAGTCGATTTCTTCTATTTCTTCAGGAGTAGGGTGTACAATTCTTCTTATTTTGGGATCCCTGGTTTCTAGTGGTGTCATGTTGCCTTTCAGATTGTTGGAGGAATTCTTGTATTGGCGCCTTCCCATCTCTTCCTTCAAATGGAGCCAGGAGAGGCCTGGTCTCTTGGTCCAGTCTTTGCTGTGATTGACTCTCAGGGTATATCTCTTCAGTGTAGAAGCAGGAACCGTTCCCGTCCAGATGGGATTCCTCAGCAACCGTCCTGATGGGATTCCTCAGCAACTAAACAGGGCCGCAGGTAGCCCAGTGATCCAGGGCCAACAGGATGAATGGAGCAAGTGTGGGGGGGGTGGTATCCAGGAGCCCGCAGGAAGCCTGGCGCTGGAGCTGAAGGTGCCAGGCTCCCTTACAGGGGACCCTGAGGCCTGCCCGGCAGGCAGGCACTCACAGCTCTGGGTGGGTCGCCTTAGTTTAGGAGCTTAAAACTAAAGTTGAGCACTGGTCCTAGCATATAGCAGGGCAGGGTTCACCTCAATTGTTTTTTCAGTGCTAAATCGTCTGCGCTGAAAACATACACATGAGTAACATCATACAGACAGAACAGGTTATATCTAAGAATGCATGTATGTGTGGACACACACATGTGTATGTATATATATATATTTATGAAATAAATATAATATATAGATTATTATATTATATATATTATTTAAAAGAGGCAATGAATTTGAAGGGGAGTGGGGAAGGGCATATGGGAAGGATTCCTGTTTCTACTTTAAATTATTCTTTGGAGCAGTTAAGTTGTTTAGAGTAGTTAAGTTGCTTACATTTTAAGTAAAAAATATGGAAAATTAACTACCAAAAATATAGAAAACAAATCCATTGCAAGGGTAATTATAAAATGGGTTTAAATTCATTGGCATTAAAGGGTAAGAAGATATCTATACTAAAATCTATGAAATGTAGAATAATTTAAGATTCACAAAGGATTGGTTCTTTAGAATAATCTGAGTTCTGTAGTCTGCACTTCAAAGACATGTGAGTCATTTGGGTCCCATTTATTGAGCATCTGCCTCTCACTTGCCAGGTGAAATGAATGGCAAATCTTCATCTCCAGTAGATATCAAAGTAGGCATTGTCTGCCTTTGTGGATACATCAGGTGTTTATATCTGGCTAAGTACGCACCCTATATTAGAACAACCTTAAACATTTAGAATTAACACATATGACCATTTCATCTAGTCTATAAATAGTCAGTGAAATCGGGGGCTTTTGAAAAGGATGAGAGCTTCAAAATGTTCATTCTGATATAAAACATGCAGCCAAGATGCATGAGATGAATGCTATGTGTATTGTTATATTTTATAAACATCGTATATGCTAATGGTGTTCTGCACCCCAGCTTGATTTTGAAACCTTTCCTCTGACTTCAGGAGCGGAGGCTGTGGAGGCACAGTGTAAAAGATTTGAAGTAAGAGCAAGTGAAGATGGCAGGGTGCTGTTTTCTGCAGATGAAGACGAGATAACCATCGGGGCTGAGAAACTAAAGGTCACAGGTACTGTAATGGAGATCTTTCAATGTTTTTTACCCAATAAAAGCGTACAAAATTCCATAGAAATTCCTTTACATAATTTCTGGCTTCCTTCCCAAAAGCCTAGTTGTCAATCTTATAATATATTTACTTTTCAAATAACTACAAATAAAGTCATTAATTGTGGTTGGAGAACAGAGACTAAATATTAATAAAACTTCTCATCAATATTTATAAAGTTGTATCACTCAAATCAACTAAAATACTGAGTTAGGTGTCATAAAAAAATAGGAGTAAAGGCGACAAATCTGAAGGTGCCCATTGTCTCCATTTTCCTGTTTCCCAGAGACAACCTTCTTGTCTATGGCTTCACTGCCTGCAGAGCTTAAACAACATTTTTGTATATCTAACACACACACACACACACACACACACACACACACACAGACATCCCAACACACAGAGAAACAAACACATACAAATTCATGCTAAATCCTTCCTTCTTTACCAGACTACCATGTATTAACTTCAGAATAGCTTTATTCTTGCTTGTAACACTCCTAAAATGAAAATATCAAAGACAAATATAGGCTATAATTTCACATGCATAGGAGAGATAATTGGCCCGAGCACAGAACACAATATGAAGGCAAGGGATTGGCAGGTCCCCTCACATACACTTTAAAGCAGTGCTCCAGTCTTTTGACAAATAACACTACAAAGAGACACTGACTCCAGGGTGCCCCATATAAATTAGGTAACTATTCCGACAAGACTTCAAAGTACGTGTGACAAAGGATCTCTATGAATTGTAAATTGGTGGCATGAAAGTTTTCCTATTCAAGCAATATCCATAGGAATTAAAATTAAGATGAAACCTTTCTCACTTTCTTCCACTTTATGAATAATGACATGTGTGATGAACTCTTGTTTCAGAAGAACGTGGATGATTTACATAGGGGATATGTCTGTATATCTGAGACAAAATGACTATAGATCTGAGACAAATTTACGGTGCTTATAGGTTTTAACATATTTGTGGTTAGCTTATTTAGAATATAGGTGTGTATACACTGGAGGTCATGCCCTAACATGAACATGACTACTTTAGCTTTCTATTGCTGCCACAAAATATAAGATGACCAGACAAATTAACTAACTAACCAACAGAACAGCAATTTGAGAGAGGCAAAGAATGTGGACCATTGTTTCAGAGTTTTGGCAGACCATTTGAACAGCTTCTTAGTTTTATTTTTATTTATTTATTTATTTATTTAGGATTTCTGCCTCCTCCCTGCAACCGCTTCCCATTTCCCTCCCCCTCCCCCGATCAAGTCCCCCTCCCTCATCTGCTGGAAGAGCAATCAGGGTTCCCTGACCTGTGGGAAGTCCAAGGACCGCCCACCTCTATCCAGGTCTCCTAAGGTGAACATCCAAACTGCCTAGACTCCCCCAAAGCCAGTACGTGCAGTAGTGGTCCTGCGGAGCCGCACAGCAGAAAGGCTGTAACATGAAAGTCCTGCTCAGTCCAGATGAGAAACAAGTTGCTCTTGACCGGACTAGCTTTGCGAGGTAGTAATTTGCTTAAAGGGACTAAAATGTGTACCTGCTCTTAATATTCCTTGACATTCCTTGATAAAAGGGGGTGTTAGACTCTAGTTCAAATATAAAACCTTTAAAACTCTGCTTGTTTTGTATTCCCGACTATGAACTCCAGGTATCACCTAATGCAATTATCTTCTCGGGCCCAGTAAGCTCATAAAGGACATAAACCTTTCAACACAGCAGACTCAAATCCGGTGCTTTCAGGCTGCGTCCATCAACTGCAATCAGCGCTTTTATTTGTAGCTCACGCACAATAGCAGCCTAGAAAACAAAGGAAGGTAAACGATGAATCCAACTTAGGAAGGTGAAAGTCCTCAAGTCGGAGGAAAACGATAAATTGGACGCAGGCATCTGTTTTGTGTTGGCAGAAAGCAGACAGGAGAGAAGTGAGTGAGGACAAAGTATCTCTCTCTCTCTCTGTTCTCCAAATGGCAACGATTCAATGTGGCAGTCTCGAAGAAGAGAGAAATGCAGCCGCATGTTCCTGATGCCCTCCTGTTTGCTGGAAAGTCAAGAGCGTCTCACCCCCGTGTGTTTCTAATGGAATGATTGGAAAGATAGACAGGTCCCCGCGCTTGTTTGACAACACAAGAAAGAATTTTCTGAGGAACTGTCTTTAAAATTAAACAGTGTGCTGGGCTGGAATCAATATTTCCTGGTTTGCTTTCATTACCTGGCTTCTACTTCCCCGTTCTTGTCTATTGCATTAGCCCACTGTGATAAGGTCAGCTTCATTGCCAGTCCTTTCTAAAGCAGGACTTTTGTTCCTCGGAGCTGGTCAAAATGCTGAGAACGTGGTACCACTCAGACCCCAGGAAAAAAGCAGTTTGTCTGAAAAGCTGCGGAGTACTGACTAAATCAGGTGCGAAGAAAAGTGATGTGTGGTCACTTAATTTCCTCTAGTGACACATTAGAGGTTTATGCACTTGACATGATCACTCAACTCAGCTTTCCAGTTGTTTCTTAAACTTCCTGGTGCTGGAGACTTCAGAGACATGAGAGAACACTGAACCATGCCCTAGAAACTTCTAAATGGAAATTGACTTTCAGTTTTGAAGTGCATATGCAAGTCACAGCCATTAACACGAATAAGCTGTTTTGTCAGAAGTCTTTGCTAGCAGAAGTTTCTGTGGTTTATTTTTATCCAAGGTCTCAAGGAAATGTTTCCTATTTTTTATTCTGTTAAAGCAAATATTGAAAATGCAGCTGCCTAATATAAAGCTTGAAAGCATTCATGATGAAAAGGCAATGTGAATTCTGACAAAACTACAGGCAACTAAGGAATGCTGGGAATGTGATAGCCTACTCCAGGAAAGACCTGTCTCCCCAGATTAGTTATAAGCCCTGAAATCATATGCATACTAAAGACCTTATAATTGTGAGCAGGTTGTATTTGTATTTTTAAAGGTATACATACATATATATACATAAACACATATAATATATTATGTTGATATATATTAATTCATTCATATGTATTATGTTAATGCAGATTGCCAATTCAACAATTAAAGTAACAGAGACCATGAATTTAAGAGAAAGCATAGCGCAAAGAGAGGTTCATGGGGTGCGTTGGAGGGAGAAAAGGGAAGGGAAAATTTACATAGTTGAATTAATTTCAAATTTTAAAACTATAAATTGTTAAAAAAGGAACTTCTCTGTTCAGTATAGTCAACAGATTCCATTTGATGCTCAAAGTTCCTTTATGTGCTAGACGAGGGAAATTCTTTGAGATATAATTAACTTTGATGTAGCATAAATAAATTATCTCATTTCTTAGGCATCACACTTTAGTGGGCATTATTACAAAACCTTTCTGTCCTTGCCTGCTGTGGGTAAGAGGGTGATGACCATGGATCTTAGAAGATACCACTGCTTCTTACACGTCCCAGTGAATCCTGCCTGTATACAGTCAGAGTGTCTTCAACTTCTTTCTTGATGTGGCCTTCTTTAGCTTCTCTTCTGTCAAATTTTTCTCATTTCATTGTCTTCCATCAGCTGGAAAATGACCCCTTTTAATGGTTCATATGATGGTATGATAATTAAGTTTCTATTGTTGTGATAAAACACTATAACCAAAAGCAACTCAAGGAGATAGCTTTTTTTCATCTTCTGATTTGTAGTCTATCATCCAGAGAAGTTGGGGCCAGAAACTCTAGGCAGGAGCTGATGCAGAAGCGGTGAAGAAATGGTGCTTATTAGCTTACCCTCCAAGGCTTGCTCAATTTGCACACAGAGTCACAAAGCCAGAAGTAGCACCATCCACAGTGGCCTAGAATTTACCACCTTGATATTTAACCAAGAATATACATCACACACTTACCCACATGCCTTTCTTTGGGGGATAGTCTCCTAAATGAGGTTCCTTCTTCTAAAATGACTCTAACTTGTATTAGGTTGACCTAAAATTAGGCAGAACAATGGTGCTTGTTATACTGTGCTATTCTGTTTGTATTATCAAATACCTGGACATCCAGAAAATACTCCTAGTTCACTGATGAAAAATGTGAATTACATATGCCAAGCCCCGTTTCTCATGAAACATAACATATATAATACATTATCTACATATTCACAAAAGACACAAGACATGATCTCCTTGGGCTGTTGGGCCATAGTTACTGTTACTCTGCCTGAGACGCTGGGGAAAGCTTGATTTTTTTTTTCAGCCCCAGTTTTCTTCTTTTAAGTAGTATTCTTATTAATATTTAATATGTATGGTTTAGATAAAAAAGAGTCATAAAAATAAATTAAGACAAATTCTGGATCAAATTTGTATCTTGCAGATGCAATTTCTACTAAAATCATAATTTGTTGTGTCATTGCTATTCTCATGTGTTTTAAATTTGTTAAGTACTTGTAAAAAATAAAATGCAGAGGTCAAAATATGAAAATGACAATAAACAAGTAGAAAATGCTATATGGATAACAAATGCAAATTGATACTTCTTATTACATAATTGACGGCATTAAAAAGCTCCATTACTAAAAATGAAAGGAATGGGAGAAGGCATAACGTGACTCCATGACAGTTTCTGGCATCTGTGGGAGGAATCGTTTTTATTCAAGGTCATGGTGCTGCTCTTTTGCCACATTGCTGTGGATAGACCCACACCCTTATGTGCATGGGCAGCATAAATTAAACACTGTAGATTATAAAAATAGAAGATGTTATCAATGTAGGAGGTGGATTCTTTGGGTAGTGGTTCAGGACAAAAGAAGGGAGGCAGAAATTTGAAGTATGGTGGATGTGTTGGAGATACATTATTTATATGAATAAAATTGTCAAAGAATGAATAAAATATTATTAAATTTGGAAATTAATTTTATTTATAGCAACCAAATAGTAACTTAGGCAAGATATGTTTTGTTTTTATCTTACATAGCATTACATGTGACTAGACTCTAATAGTCAAGGA